GCCGTATCGAATAGAACGCCCAGTCCCTATAGCCTGTCTCTTATACACATCTAGATGTGTATAAGAGACAGGTAGTGGAGGGAGGCCCATAATAGACTGCATGACGAAAGGGTTCGCACTCAGTCGTTGGTAAGAAGAGAAAAAAAAAAAACAGACTGGCAAAATGACAGGAAGCCGCAATCAGCAGCCCAAAGTGTGATGCAAAACCACAAGCTGTTAAAAAGGACCGGCAAAGACTGATACCGTCGTAATCTTCAACTGTGATGAAAAGCAGTGAGCGTTCTTTCTTTCCTTCTTGGGCTCTTCCCTGACCTCTCCCCCCCCTCTAATCTCTCCTTCCGCCCCCCATCCACAAACTTGAGCTCGTTTGTCGACATGCAATGCAAGCAGCACACCCCCCAAAAAAAAGTGTACGCGGGAATGGATTGCCAAACACGGCCCCAGTACAGATCACAAAGTTAGGGGAAACAGCGCACAGCTATAATGCGAAAGATGCAATTCAGAGCCAATGGCCAATGCAGCTAAAATGCAAAAGAGTCTCCTTTCCCTTCCTTGATGGCAAGTTAAATAATCACATAAAATTGATGCAAGAGAAACCTTTCTTCTTTTCTTCTCCACCGCCCTCCCCCCTCCCCCCTCCCCCCCCCAGGGCCCAATATCCATCCCAATTCTGTAAACAGAAGAGTACAACCAAAGTTTACATCTCATTCAATCCACCTTACCATGTGCAACCACGCGACCACAGAAAAGGCGCAGGGGGGTAGGAGGGGGGAAGCAGTGGGGGTGGGTGGGTGCAATGGTCACGTACGAGAGAGCTGTTTCAACTTTCAACCAATTAAGGGTTTCACCAACCCCTCAAGTGCACGAACACTGGATCAGACTCTCGCGCTCATCTCATTCAATCCACCTTGCCAATGCCATGTGTGAGTCTGGTGCAAGCGCTCCCTCTTTTTTGTTCAGTTGGGCGTATTCAAGACAGGGTACCATTAAACCACCAGTACATCCAGCTACCGGCCGCAGGCCCTTTTCAGAGGCCGCCCGCCATCGATTCGATTTACCTACGGCGCAGGGCTGCCGAAAATTTGCGATCTGGCGCACGAGTTTTCTTTTCAGCAAGGCTGCGGCCGTGTACTGGCTGGCTGTTTGAGAGCGACGCCCTCCTCTACCCCATGGTGAATCGGAAAACTGCTCTTCTTCTCTCCTACGCACTTGTGCGCAAAGACCGTCTGGCATGGTACTTGTATCGAACTCCATTTCTTTTTCCTGCTGCCGTCCAACATGCACAAGACAGAGTGAAAACTCCCTCCCAGATCACAAAGCACGATCCGCATTATCAGACAGCTTCCATCACCAATAACTTCATCAGACATGTTCTTTTAAGCACCTCGCCAACCAGTCCTGACGCCTTGCCGGACATAGCGCACCAGCGATCGACCAAACAGCTGGACGGGCTGACCAATCCATTCCTCTTGAATTCCCCCACAAGGTGCATCAGGAGGCCAAACAGCTGAATGGCCCGAACAACCCACAGAAGCAGTGTCGTCAAACGACAGCCCTGTCGGGTCTGCCATCTGGCTGCGATGGTTGGCGCATAGCCTCCGCCGCAAACACCAGGAGGCCAGCCTGGCTGTTGTTCGACGATTGAAGATCCGCAGGGCAAGTGAGGGTTTGCCCACGACCGCATGCTGCAAAGAGATATATACGACACCATAGCAGATGCGATATCCCAAAAACCATTCATTCTAGCATTGCCGCTACGTACAATACTAAAGACAACAACAACCACAAATGACCTCTCCGCCGCCGTTAACCATCAGATCATCTCCACCTACCTAAAGCGCAGATTGCCGCTCCTACAGCTCAAGTGTGTACTCACCCCACCGCGTAAACATGCCCCGGCATAAAGCGCAGAGGGCACAACATGCCCCGGTATAAAGCGCAGAGGGCACAACATGCCCCGGACACAACATGCCCCGGCATAAAGCCCAGAGGACAAACTGGACAGAGCTAGACTGAAAGTTTGATGATTTCGACCCATAAACAGCTGGCGATGACCAGGTACCAAATAGGATCAACCGTCTTTTTTTATTTTTTTTGTTTCGCTTCCGATAGACTAGGGTATGGACCCCACAGGCGTGCGGAAAAGCGTATGGATTGGCGCAGAGTTTTTTTTTTTTCAGACACCACAAGCCGCAAGGAGCGGCCAGGAAAACTTTGGGCGGACGTTTCCACATGGCGTCATGATGGGAAAGTCCTCCCTGTCACACTCCAATTTCCGAAATATTGTGCCAAAAGAACATGGTAGAGCCCCCAGGCTCGCCGCTTGATTAAGCCATCCTGTGCGGAAAGCAGGCACAGGGCTTATGATGTCGAATACAAGACTCGAACACACAACCAACAGCTTGGCAGGCTAACACCTAACCATAAGGCTAACCACAGGGCTTGGACGTTGTGCTGAAAAAGAGGAGGCACACTTGCCTGAAAGGGCAAGTCTTCCTGATCGGGTAACCTAAACCCGTGAACATGCAAAAATCTGCTGTGGCGGTGGAGTCCCTTTTCTCTTGCCCATTCCCGGCGCCTACGATCCGTGCTGGCCGATGCTTTCCAGGCGCAAAGCTACCAAGGGCCTGTGGGGTCCAGCCCTAAGTGAACACAGCACAAAGAGCTCCATACATACGCCTACTTTGGCCAGCCGCCCGCCATGGAGATTTCCCGATTTATTCATTCGGATTCCGTCACAGGAAATTCTTCCACCTTAGTTGAAACATCACATGAACGACGACGTCACTTGCACAGCTATCTCCTCCAGAACTCACATCCACAAAGACTCTCTCCAAGGGCGCCACCTGTGTCACTCACTGCCCCCTTCAACTGGGAATAAATCCATAAACCATCTGGAATCATCTCTTGCAAAACTATGTCCTGCATATTCTCCAACGGTCCAACCATATGTACAGGCCAAGAGGTTGACTTCCGCGTGATTGTCCTCCAGTCTCAACAGTAGTGACAAATTATCTGTGTCTGGAACACAGGCTGGAAAGCTTGATCTTCTCCACTTCCCCGCTCTCCTTCCGTCCACCTACCCCTTTGGGTTTTACACTGCACCCCCTTCAACTCTCTCTCTCTCTCTCTCTCTCTCTCTCTCTCTCTCTCTCTCTCTCTCTCTCTCTC